GTAGTAGTAGTAGTAGTAGTAGTTGTAGTAGTTGTAGTAGTAGTAGAACCAGCAGCAGCAGGAACAGCAGTGGTAGTATTAGTAGTAGTAGTAGTAGTCGTCGTCGTCGTCGTCGTCGCGGTGTTGGTGGGCGTGGTGGTAGAGGCCGGTGTCGGGGTTGTTGCTATCGTTGTCGTTGTCGTTCCGGCAGCACCACCAGCAGCTTTCAGCCGTGTAGACGTCATGAGCGGAACATGTGTGATATAACTGATGTAGCAACAAGGCCCACGCGCAAAGTCTTTCCGGCGATACTGTCCCGGACCGATGCTGGTACCCCTGGCGAGGAATTCAGCATTCACACCCGGGCAGACAAGCCCTAAAAACAGGCTAAGTCGGGTGACCCCGTGCCTAATATCATTTGGCTCTTGATGCATACTCTCACTTCACAACTGAATTTATTTTGATCCTTTATGCACCGATTCACAGAGATTTCCTCTGACGGACGTGGGAGTTCCGAACCCGCCCGTCCTTGCAAGACTGCTGCTAAGACGTTTCTGCAAGACCCCTGGACTGAAGATTAGACAGTATCTGCGAGCACCGTCCTCGATACCTGTGTCCCCATGGCAAATCTCCGATTCGCAATCACCACCCTTAACCTCAATCAAGAACCTCACGGTCTCTTTGTTTCGGCTGGAACGCTCAGAGACCGCCCCCCAAATCTGAGCAAGGTGAAACAGCTCCTGAGGCCTGGCATCTCCGCGGAAGCGATCTGCGCAGCCAAAGCTCTTGTTCTCCCTGCACTTGACGACCCGGCCCTGGATTGCCGGATGTGCTCACTTGCCAGACTCGGAACTCCTCATCCTAATCTGTGGCCTTAAGACCTCAGTGCTGTGTCTCTTGTGCAAGCCAAGCATCAATTCCGAGCTGCATCATGCCACTCTCCCGAATGTTGTACCTCTAATTTGGAGGAACCGAACATACTCTCGCCCCTTTCGCTCGCGAACTTGCGCCATGCTATGAACCCTCACCGGCTTCGCTGCATGCCAAGCCACCAACCCCGGCACCCCAGCATTGCTCGATATCTCCCTTGAATTCCAAAACCGCCTAAGTATCCTTCGTCGCCGTGCGCACATCGGCCCAGGTGACCCATGTGGATCCACGCCTAAAGATGCCGCCAAGTCTGGCCTTGCGCCGCTGGGCGGTTGAAGGATAGCTGGCAGGAACTGAAATTAAAGGACCCGTGTAGAGGTGTGCGTAGTCCTGAAGTGTGGTCGAGATATTCCCGCTCGCGTCTCGGAGCCGGTGTTGTGCGGAAATGCAGGCAACATGCTGGCTGATCTCTGTTTCTGTGCAGACGCTACTTTCCTCACCAATTGATGTGAACCAGGAATACTGACTGTTCAACCAGAGATTGTAGGGGAGCTCCCTTTCATGTACCAAACTCCTGACTGTTCGAGATACCCCTTCACGCACGGGCGAAACTCGCTGCATTCCGCACAAAAGAAGAGAAACTAAGGCTTCTGACATTGGCCAAGGCATGAGGTTTTTACAGTACTAGGTCGTGGTCGCCTTGCGGGTGGTTGCTGGAACTACTTATGTAGCTATCCTGCAGGGGGAATCCTTGCGGATCGTTGCTGGAAGTACTTACGTCGATAGCCTGCAGGGGGAAAGCCCAATTCAAAACAACCCAGATATGCGGAAGGAGTTCTTCGCAGCACGAGCCCCTCGAACAGGTATGCAGTGCACACTGCTTCGGCAGCAGCCGTCCCAACCACCAAATGCAACGAGTCGATGCAAGGCCATTTAGTGGATGATCCTCGCGCCAGCGCACCCTGACAAGAGATGCTCCCAAGTCTCTGTGCTACACCCCAACCGCCCTAAGAGCCCTGACACCTGCCTCAGGGATGTCCCAACCTTGGGCGCATGGCCCTCCAGTGTGGAGGGGACCTTGGCTTGACTTCGGCTCTTTAAATCCAAACTCGACATAGATTCATGAGGGTAGGCTATTGGCCTTCGATGTCTTCTCCGCTGCTTCGGGGTAGAGGACTGCCTAGTGGGTCCCGGACTCGCGCGCCAAAGCAGTGGGCTCGTTGACATTCGACTGTAATACAGAATCAATAACACTACTAGTCATCACATTACTCATAACATTATGAAGTTGGGGAATGAAGACACATGATATTGTATTACTAATTACTAAGTATGGTCGTAGCAATGGCCATAGGAGTGACCAACCTTACAGCAGGTATCATAAGAGCAACAGAGGCAACGTAACAATGATAGCATGAATGCCATCATGGCAATCATGACACCACTAGCAATAATCTTTATCACATCTTCTAACTAACTCCCGCAATCAACTTGTGATTGCTATGGGTTTAGAGACAGTTGAAGTTACGATGATTGGCTTGGCCCAGGTCATGATCTTGGTGCGCCGGTGGCATGGCAAGTCGTGCCTTGGTGCTTATTGCGAGGCCTGTTGGTGATGTTCCACCGACCATCTTTGAGGGCCTGCAAGCTCTGGCTGCGTGCTTCAACGAGTATGGCGCTTCGTACCTCACGCTGTGAGGGAAAGTATCTAGACTTGGAGGGTCCTGGCAAATCTTTGAAGAGCGGATATCTGAACCTAACGGGATTTACGTTCCGGGAGTTCAATGGAAAGGCTTATGGTAAGGGCATGAATACTTAATGTTACAGGATCGGACGTTGACATCTACCGTACCGGTCTCGGCTGTTGAGTGCCAGAACCGTCTATAGGTTGCTATTCCATCAGCTCGACGTTGTCGAAATTACACAGGCGACTGTGTGTTTCACCCAATATGATAGTGAGTACCCGTTTAACCAAGTCTTCGGGTGCATCCAGGCCCAAATGCTCACCGAACACAATGTTCAATGTTTGCGAGTGGGGTGAATAGAACGAGGACGCGACGGTGCTGACCATCTGCGGTCATTTAACAAAATCAATTCCTGCACTAGCTGTCTCATCATCTCTGTAGGCTGCACACTGTGTAGGCACAGCTTGGTGACTCTCGACCAAGATTGGTGCCTGAAGCATGGCTTTTCATGTGAGGATTCACGAGCTCAAAGCCTTTTTCGGTTATTGGGCTTTTTTTCGGAGTTTAGGGAAAGGCGTGTCACGGCTCATCGAACACTGCTTCATCTTTTTGGGCTTTGCACTGTCGTCGTCGGAGATTTCGGGTTGGCAAACAGTGTGCTCCGAATGAGGGGCTAGGGACGAGGGACGACTTACCCAGGGTCTCCAACGGATCTAGCAGCTCGTTGGCAATTCCGGCTCCGCTGCTCCGATGCGGCGTATGCAATGTGCATCTTGAACGACATGTCATCGACTGATCTACTTCGCGACACTTGTAAGCCCTTCCAAACCCTAAATCCCGCAAGCCCTGCTGGCAATGACTTTCCATCATCTACAAACCTCGTCAAGCTTTCCTCAGACCTCTGGAGTAAGTACTGACGCGGCGTATGCTTCGAGAACTCGGTCTGCGGCTTGGCACCAAAGCACAGCACTCTAAAAATCGAAAGAGTGGTACAAAGACCGAGAGTAAATGTTTCCGCGGGCGAGGTGGAGGGCTTTTCAGACAGGCCTTGCGAAGCCTTGGACACCGTCACCTTCTGCCATTCATCCCAGCCTGCATGGATTCAAACAAGGGATGTCCATTGACGTTCACTGATGTTCGAAGGCTTCTGATATACACTGAAAGCTGACTCTGGCGTAGCTGTGCAATAGCGATAACCTGCTTGATGGTCACAGGTTCATGCAGCACTTGTGCTGCAAGATGTTGACGGTCTGTCCAAGATCTTACCAATAGAATCACTCAAATCAATCGGCAAAGCGAGTCGCCGTAGATTGTATATAAAGAACTTGTCGACACACCTCAGTTCACTGGGATTCCCTGACGAAGGCAACAGAAACTGACACAATGAAACATGATCGAAACGAAATCGGAGACCGCAAGGACACATCAAAACACGCACTGCAGTGGTGGATGAGTGATCAGTACAAGGATTTTGTGGCGGCGGGATAGGGCTGGAGGGGAGAGTGCGAGAGCCCCATCGCATTACCAACCCGGAGGGACAAAGCAGTGCCGCTTCTAGCTTGCATAGCTCTTCGTCTTGCTCTGTGTCAAGACCAATACGCACGAAGCACAAAATAGTTGCTACCGCATAAAGAAGGGTTGTACTACAAGCCGCCAAAAACCGAATGCTGCGACGTTCAAGCCTAGACATTATCCCCTGTGGCTATTTCACGGCAAGGCTGCCTGTTCGTGGAAGGCTGATCTCGGGTGCCTGTTGAAGATTTATGCTTCAGGAGTATCGGAGAGGCAGCCTCTAGGACTGTCCGAATCACACTAGGTCACCATGTGTACTAAAGTCTGGGATCTGCCACCCACGCTGTCCAACAGCAACAGGGAGCACGTTCTTTGCTTTGGCGGAGGCATTGGGCTTCCGGGATAAGCAGGGCATCCCAAGCAACGCATGCCCAGTGATGTGACATGGCTCAGGCGCTTTTCCTGTAAACTCTTCGTCGTCCCTCCGAACCTCTTCCACACATACATTATATATATATATATATACACACACACACACACACGAGAGGCACACCCCAGACTACCTCCTTTAGAACCAAATCGGCAACCCCCCCCCCCTCCGGGCTTGCAATTTCAGAAGGATGATTTCTGCAGCATGGTGATGCCCATGAGCCGAAGTCATGAATAGAACGAGCAGTCCCATGTCCTGAACATTCATTCGCCAGCTCAGCACGGCACCGAGCGGCACTTGCTGAACATCTGCTTTCCAAGCCTAATGCTGACCGTCTCGGTGACGAGATTTTTTAAGATGCATCGGGGGCTTATGGCGTTCAGGCCTCAGAACAGATATCTTTCACACCCAAGTCTCCAATAGCACTCAAAGCTTTGTTTCACATAGGCTAGGAGTGCGGCACGAACCTCTCGTCTCTGGCCGATGTTGAAGTCCACAGAACCATGAACAAGGGAAATTACGGCAACAGTCTGTTGGGTATTTTCTGAGCACTTTGTGTGTGCTAGCATAGTTAGGTATCGATGTGGTAGGTCTTGGATTGTGCAGTTGCAGTTGCATTGCGGACATGTAGCGTGCTTTCAATGCGAGCGATGGGTGTCTCGCTTTCATCGACTCCCTCACCATGGGGGACGTGCGCAAAACAGCGCCTTCAATAAGATGGTCACGTCTACGTGCAAGAAACTGACTTATCTTGTCCTTACAACACCAAACCCTCGAGGCCGGATCCCCAAACCTGGCACCGTGCACCCTAGGCTCTAGACTCCCTAAACCCCAATTTACAGTCGGAATGCTACATACCCGTGACATACCCCCTGGAAGAATCAAAGGCACAAGCGGCCAGTGCAGAATCAGAAGTCAACAACCCGCAAAACAAATGCCACAGTTCTTGGCTACGGGCGCATTGAAGCCCTGGCTGTCCGGGCCAAAGTAATGGCCAGGACCCGGCCTGGGACATCAATTCCCACACGAACCGAAGAAAGAGTTTCTGGACCAATTGCTATATTGAATGCAGGTAGAGCATGCGCACTTCGAAGGCCAAGCTGCTCGCGGTGATGTGCAGTGTTTTCGCTGCTGCTCGTCGTAGAAAACAACAACTGTAGTTCTGGCATAACCGTTGCATCTATTGTGCTGCCTCCTAACCTATCCTTTTTCGCCAAGTCAAACGAGATCAGTCTGCATTTAGATTGCCCGTTGCCCGTTGTCTTGCCCGTTGTCAGACATTTGGTGCCCAACAAGCCCGGAGTTGAGGTTTGTCTTTGAAGACCTCCCGTGACAAAACGGGAAATGCTAGTCCGAGTTCTGCAGACCGACCGTCGAAGGCCCCGCAAACCAGAAACAGCTGGAGACGAAGTGCCGGACACCCAACACAACACGCTCAAACCTCGAGGCCTTCTCAAAACTCCGAAGTCTCGACATTCCTAATCCGATGTCGTATTTCGATGATCCCCATGAACGGCAAAGCGCCCAGTAAATCATAACCAGCATCAGCATTGCAGTCACCATCATCATCACCATCATCATCATCGTCATCATCATCATCATCGCGATCGGCTTCCTTTGCTGATTGGGCACACGTTGCCCATGATCGCCACCATCTTCAATAACAACTACAACAACCACGGCGTCAGACTTGACCCAACCATTGCGGTACCAACCGCCGCGGCACAACCTGTATTGTCACCGTCATCACCACCACCGTCATCATCATCACCCTGGTCATCATCATCAAGACAATCATCAGTAGCAGCACAATCATTGTCTGGCGTCATCATCAACCCAGAAGCCCCTCAGAATTGACCGGGTAATCCACCAGCATGATGAAGTTTGGCTTTGAAGCCAGAATGACACCGATAACGTCAACAACTCCGACACAATCCTCCTCCTCATCATCATCACCACCGCCGCCGTTATTATCACCATGACCATCACCACCATCACCATGTTCGTCCACAACACTAACATCATCATACTCAGCCCGACCAGCGTCAGCAATTTCGTTGTCACCAGGAGCATCACATTAACCATCATTGTGTTTTATTTTTTGATTATGGCTCTACCACTTGCACAATCTATATAGGCTGAACCTATATATATATATAGACATATATGTACATGTATACACACACATACATATGTACGAATATGCACACATATACAAACATACTACAGATGCACGTATGTACTGTAGGTATATGGACATATATATATATATACACACATGCACGTGGCACCCCGCCCATATGCCCACATTCCTGTTTCGCGTTCACACAAATGTCTTTAACCGAATGAGCAAAGCAGTGTTCCCTCGGAAGTAGCACTGCTCTACCAAAAGGCACCATTCCTGCAAAATCCCATAATCCAAGAACCCCAAACTCCAAACCTCCAAAACTGGTTCTGGCATCTCCGCCAAAGTATTGGGTTTTTGGATTTTGCAGGACAAATGCTGTCTGCGGCTGCGCATGCTTCCTGTGTGCAGGGGTGTCTGCGTGAGGGCTTTCGATCTAGTGTGCATCACGAGGGATTCATGTTATGTACTTGTGTTCCAAAGATGTTGTTATCAAAACGGTTTTCAAAAGACACTCTTACTCTCGGCCATCTGTTCGTCGTTAGCTACTATTCCCAAAATGAGTTAATGTTCATAATGCATGTGTTTAGGGTTCTACTAGATTTACTGTTCTTCGTAGCATCGATCTCTGTTTGCGGAATCTTCTCAATGAAACATACCATACTAAATTACACAAGAACACGCAGTATCGAACTAACATTTTTTGTGGTAACACTATCCAGTTTTTTGGCATGCAATCGCATGTACTTCTCTTAGATTCGATGTAGGTCTAACACTGTAAGTATTCAACACCACTATACAGATCATTGCCACATACTTTGGAAATTATGAGCCAGTGAATATAAAAATTAGGTCGGCTGTTTAGTGCAGTAATACCACCAGACAGAAAGTCAAACAAGACGTAGCACTTGCAAAAGTATCGGTTCATTGCTTAGATATACCAAAAAGAGATTCGTTGAGAAGGAGAGCGTAACAACTGCGCAGATGCACCGAACTGATACCATGACATAATATGACACATATTGTACATAACCCCGACAGCACGTGTATGAGTTTGCTTCAGTATCGACGAACGATGTTGAAGCAGAACGTTATGTACCTTGAACTGTTGTCATCTTAATAATTAGTAAATTAAGCATCAAGTACCAGCTACACAACTACATATGGCCGAAGACTAAGTAAACACGTGCCATTGAATTGTGACTTAAAGTATACCAAGTAGTATCGTGTTAACAGTCCAAGATGTAAGCATGTGCGAGTGAAACACTAATCAAATGATATGTACTGTAAACATAATGCAACAAACACATTCTGCTCACGAAACAGCTATGTCAAACGAGTCACATATTCGCTAATCTCGGTATTCAACATAGTGACATAACCCATCCTTGAACACGAAGTATTAGCCAGTGAAGATGCAAGTAGCGTAGCATGCAGTTGATGTGCCAATATTGATGAAACATTTGAACGGCTGTTTGGCAAAGGGGTAAAACACTAGTCAAGTATTATGTCAACATGAAGCAATAAACACATGCTACACACGACATAGTTTTCCCACATGTTTGTTAAACTTCGCATTCGGCATAGTGACATATCCGTCATTGAACATCAACTGGTCATCCAACACCGGCTTCCACACACATTGGATCAATATTAATCTGTTACACGGATGTTTTGATTCGTTGGTATGTGAATAGGGGCAAACAAAAATCCGTTCGATATTAGTGTAGAGTTAACCACCGAAGCCAAAATTTTGCTTCAATGCCCAAACACCATCACTGCCCTCGTTAGCGAATCTGTGGCCTTGTGGTCTTGCTGCTTTGGTTGCAACATGCAAAATCTACTTCGAGTCGCTAGTGGCATAGATGATAATGCCGGTGGCGATGACGGCTACTGTTGCTACTGGTGTTGTTACTCCTGTCACTGTTGCTAGTGTTGCGACATTACGCCTGTCTCGTACAAGGCCGATGCAAACCGAATGCTGAGAACCCATGTCAGACACGAGTGAATCTCGTTGTCACTCGTGCAGAAAGCTATGTCATGCGGCTCTTATTGCTCATAACTGACGATGAACTCGGCATCCAATACTTCATTGCAAATCATACAGCTATGTATTTGTTTTCGTCCAGTTCTACCATGGCTTGTCGTACTATTCCATGAGATGTAGCATCATGGTAGATTCGACCACATGTTCTCTGCAAACCCAACACCGTAAAAACAAAAAAACAAAGTTGGAAGGACATGCCAATCCAGGNNCAGGTGGCAAAACCAAGCCAGTTATATTCTGATATAAGTGGCAAGCCGCAATCTACTAACACTCCTTTGAAACCTTTCGTCTACAAGTAGATACTGTTTATCTGTTGTGTTATTAAATCCTTTCAACGCAGCACTTAAACTATGCTTGGTTGAATATTCCTTTGACACTGATTGTCATATGTGTCATGTGGCTGGCGAGCTATATCACTAACCTAAAGAACCCCCAAGTTACGTGGGCCTGGCCATAAGGTACGCATACAGTTGCCGTGGCAGGTCTTTGAATATGGAGACAAT